TTTTTGTTTACTATGTAAAAATTCAATATACCACGTAGATCATATGAAAATTGATCTACATACACCCTACCCTTAAGAGTAATGAAATAATTTTTATATAAAAATACAGCAATTATAAAACAGGTGACTAATCCATACATGAAAATTAGTGATAGCAATGTTCACAAGAACTTTTAACTAAAAATCAACAAATATCAAATCAACAAAGTTTATCAATGTTATGCATACTTTTTATATTGCAAAGAAACTTAAGATAAAAGCTGCCAAATTTGAATAATGCCGATTTCGGACTTTTAATAGCTTCTATTTTCTTAATAGGAAATAACGAGTAAAATTATTAATGAAAATTTCAAATAAACAAAATCATTTTTTGGAAAATTCTTTACAGACATACAACCTCTTTTTATAAAAAATATGGATTTAAAACACTAGCAATATCTTTTAACTAATAACAATAATGTTATTTTTTCTGATTATCTAATTAACTATTAATAAGAATCAAATTAGCTAAAATTTATATAATTTTTTTTTTAAAACAATGTTAGTTGTATTTAAATTGTATTTACATAATATTGTAACTTAATAAAATTATATATCAATATATTCGAGATTTAGACAAGTTTGTATTTTATACTTACGACCTAATTAATTAAATTATAACATTAGAATATATATTATTATATAATTATTTATAAAATTATACTTACAATCTATTTGTTAATTAAATAAAATAATAATTATTTGTATATACTGTATATTAAAATTTATTATTTATTTTACTTACCACCTAAATTTAAAATTAGTATAAAAAAATATTAATTTTAAATTGTAAAATTAACAAAAGATATTTAAATTTTATATTTACAATCTAAAAATACAATAATAAATTATTAAATTTGCTAAAATAATAAACAATTTATGATTATAAGATTTTATATTTACTGCCTAATAATATAAAAATATTAATATTCATATAAGTAAATATATTTACGTATTTACAAAATTTTTTATGTTATATTATCATATACTTACAAACTAATTGTTTAGTAAATTATATAATAATTTTATGTATTAATATTAAAATAAATTGTTACATTATAAGAATTACAAAAATAAATCAACTTACTTTCTAATAGTTTATAATAAATAAAAAATATGTTAGTTGTTAAAATTAAAATAAAAATTTTATAAATTCGTATTTACCTCCTAACAATTAATAAAATACAAAATTAATTTTAATTGATTTCAATTAGTTAATAGTATAAATTAAACTTGCCTTTAGCAGCTTTAATAGCAATATTTATATATTTACAGTATTAATAAATTATAAAATAAATTTAAGCCAGATAACTTGCTATAATTTCGATTTAAAACCTAATACTTACCAACTAATAATTTAATTAAAAATAGACGTTAACAGTCATAAAAATTAATTTTAAATTTTTTTTTAACTTAAAATAATAAATTTTTTAATAATTAAAAAACTACACCCACCCCCTAAAATATAAAAATATAAAATTTAGGTTAGAAAATGTAAGATAAGAATAGTTTATATAGTATTTAAATTTAAATACTTACAAGCTATATAAATTCGGGATCGCAAGTTAATAGAAAATTAAATAAATTCGAGTATCAAACAATACAATTATTAAAGCACGATGTGACGTCATAACTACAGCACAATAGAGTTTTGAATGCCAGTAAGGCTCTATCGTGCCTTACCGTTACTAGCATTAAAACATTTATGCATAAAATTCGACAAGTCAGGCCACACTCTGCAAATACCATAGTTATTCAGTACTTCGTGCCTTATAACTATTAAATATATTAAAGGATTATACTCACATCCTAATAATTCAATGATAAAAAATTGTAATGATAAGTTTTATTGTTATTTTTAGTTATAGATTAAAGTTTATACTTACCCGCTAATAATTTATTTAAAAATATTTTAATATAAATTAATAATTTCAAATAAATGCAGTATGTTAGAGTTTATACTCACGGCCTGATAATATAATGATAAAAATACCAATTAATAATTTTTAAGGATTATAGTTTAATAGTTAAAGAAATAGGTTAAAGTTTATATTCACTGGCTAATAATTATTAATAAAATATTAATTGACAAAGTTTGAAATTAAATTTAACGATATAAATTAATAATAAAGTTAATACTTACTTTCTAATAATAATCAATAATAAAATATTAATTGTTAAAGTCTTAAGAATTATAATTTAACGATTTGTAATAAATTATCCTTACTAACTAATTCAATAATTAAAATATCAATGAGTTTTTAAGAATTATAGTTTAATAATTTAAAATCAATATTAAAATTTATATTTACTTTCTAATAATTAATAATAAAATATTATTAATTTTTAAGAATTATAATTTAATGATTTTAAATAAATATTAATGTTCATTACTTTCTATATATATAATAATAATTATTATTATTGATTAGTCATTTTTAAACATTATAATCTAATAATTAAAATAAATACAGTGTAATGAAGTTTATACTTACTGCCTAATGATTTGTTAATAGAAAATATTAATAAATTTTACTGTCAAATTTTACTGTAAGTTTTACAATTAACAATAATTATTTAAAAGTTTATACTTACTGTCTAATAAATTAATTATAAAAACATCAATTAGCAAGCTTTAACGATAATTTAATTATAGCGGATAAATATATTAGAAGTTTATACACACAATCTATTAATAATAATTTATATTAAAATATTAATTAATATTTGTCGAAAATTATCATTTAACAATTAAATATATATACTTACTATCTAAATATTTAATAATAAAAATACTAATTAATAAAGTTTATAATTTATTAAAAATAAAGATATAATATACTTACAGTCTAAGAATTTAATAAAAAATATTAATAAGTTTAAAATTATAATTTAATAATTCAAATAAAATATAAAAAATATATACTTACAGTCTAATAATTTAATAATAAAATATTATTAATAAGTTATAATTTTTATTTATACATTGTGAATATACACGGATAATATAAAAATTTAATTAAATATAAAATTAATCCAAGAAATTGTTTTCTTTAAAAATTATATATTATAAAATTATATTGTATTTTGCTCTAATTTAATACTCATAATTAAATTTATAAATTTCAAATTACTGTGATTACCGATGATCGCTCACCATAAAAAAAATTTTTATGAATAAATTTTATAAAATTAAAAATTCTCAAGATCCAATTTTATAGTGATGGACAACGCGCGTGATCCCGCGCGAGATACGAATGCTACTAGTAGTCCCGAAATATTCCGCCAAGTCCCGAAATATTCCGAAATAAGAAAAATCCGAACCCCAGTTGATTGATCATCTATTCCGAGAATTTGCCCATCACTATCAATAAGATATCAATAGTCAACAATCAGAATCATATTATCAATAAGATAATATAATACCGATTATTGACTATTGACCTCTTTTGGAGACAACAATAGTGATGCATATTGCATCCCTATTGAACTTAATTTTACTTGTGGTATTATCTCTTATAGCATATTGAAAATGGCAGTGTACTATCGAATAAAAGAAACTAACGCGAATTTTAATCTTTTACGAAATTATCAGTTCTAATATGTTACTAGAGATAATACTACAAATTAAATATAATGAAGAATATTGAAAAGTTTTATTTTTAGACAAGATAGATTGTTCATAAAAAAGTGCTAAAATTATTGGTATGAGCGATCATTGGTTGCTACAATAATCTGAAAAGGTATGAGAATATCCATGTATACGCATGTATAAACTAAAAAAGGGGTATAATTTAATAATAAAGTTTATACTTACAGGCTAATAATTTAGTAAAAAAGTTAATAAATATTAATTATTATTTAAAATTAAATAAATATATATAGAATTTATAAAATATTTAACAATTTAAAAGATAAAAATTTGTATATGCGTATACTTACCGCCTAACAAATTATAAATAATATTTAGAAACTAGCAAACAATTTTAATTCAAAAATAAAACCTTTATATTTACATCCTGATAAAAAATATGTTAATAAACTATAAGAACCAGTAAACAAATTAAATTTATACTTACCAGCTAATAATAAAATAAAATATATTAATAAAATATAAATAATTTAAATAATAATCTTGAAAACTTTGTACTTGCAGCCTAATAATTTCAAATAAAATATAAGTATGTATATAAAAATAATAGTTCTATTATTAATTTCTGAACCCACTATTCTGATAAATAGTTATATAATTAGTGAGAATAATTGTCCGAAAAGTGGATATCAGAAAATAGTTCGTAAATAAATTTTTATTAGATACCATATGATACTTACAATCTAATAATTTGTTCAAAATCATGTTTTAATAAGTAATAAATATTGGGAAAGACTAAGAATAATTTATAAAGAAATAAATATACTTACTGGCTAGTAGTTAACATATATATGTATGTATAAGTAAAAAGTTGATTTTAAAAAAAGAGGCATCCAAAAAACTTACGACCTAAAAGAATATAAAATGGGATTTTTTCAAAAAAAAAATCAATTTTAGTAAAATTATGAATGATGTTTATAATTTTACTAAGCATAAATTTACGCGAGTATTTGAAACCTCTATTAGGCCTAAACTATATATTTTGGCGATACGTAAAAGTTTTACGTACGTATACTTACATCCTTTTCCTTATACAGTATATAAAAGTGAGTACTGATACTAAATATATAATAATAAATCGTAAATCGATTATAAATTAAGTCATACTAACTTCCTAATAAGTTAAATAGAATATGCAGAAATGAATTATAATAATAACATATCACATTGGACTATTACATTGGACTATTAAAAAATAATAAACTACCTCTTAAATTCGTAGCAGAGGAGTTATATCTGGTTGAAGTTGTAGCAAAGTTATTGTTTCCACTTAGAGTCAAAGTAGAAAAATTGGTTCTACTTGAAGTAGAGATATTATTTTCATTTAAGGTTGTAGCGGAAATATAGTCATCAATTATAGTTGTCGCGGAGAAAACTGCGGATATATGATCTTCACTTAAAGTTGTATCAGAGATATTATCTTCACTTAAAGTTGTAGAAGAGTTATTGCCTTCATTTAAAGTTGTATAAGAGATATTATTGTCTTCATTTAAAGTTGTATAAGAGATATTATTGTCTTCGCCTAATGTTGTAGCAACGATATTGTTTTCACTTAAATTTGCATTATTTCTTGGTGGCAATATAGTCGAAGTAATAACTCTATTTGGAGCTGCCCATCTTGTCAAAACATCTTTCCATAAATTAGGTTCAAAGATTTGCCGATATGGATATAATTTATCCATAACATCTTCACCAGTAATTTGAAAATATCGAATAAGAGGTAGACAATCTTTTAAAGTAGTTTTCAAGGCTGAAAATTTTTCATTAGACCATTGTGTAGGATTAAAATCTAGGTTAGGGGTTTGAGAAATCCCCCATTTAATAACTTGATCCCAAATTCTTCCTTCATCCATGTTTAGATTATCAAGTTTCAAAAGAGAGACTAAAGCTTTTTCTGAAATATTCACAAACTCTTCAGAATTAAAAATAATATTCGGATTTTTAGAAATCATATCATTACAAAATTGTTGTAAATCTTTAAAATCATCAGTTTCAAGACTCAATATATAAACTTTAATCATATTATGATGCATCCATGATGCATGATTCCGAACTAAATGTGTTTGTATAGTATAAACTAATTCATCAAGACCAAATTCTTTGGCAGCTGATAAAAGACCAAGAAGTGTAGGTGCTTCGACGTCGTCAAACAAAAGTATACCACCATAAATATATCTATAAAATTCAGAAAAATTCAAATTGTATTAATGATTACAACAATTAAAACGTGTAATTAATGAAAATATTATTTCAACTTACTTAATAATAATTTCAAAAACATTAACAGTAATGTGTGGTTTACTGATAGTTTTAAGATTCGGTTTATTGCAATTGGTTCTAGCATTATTCAACTCTTCGCGAAGATAAGAACATCGAGAGTTCAAAATAATTGAATGGGCCTTAAATTCTTTGTTTTGCACTTCAATTATTACGTCACAATTTTCACCAGTTTCAAAAAGATTTGTTAAATCACTGGAAAGTTTTTTATAGAATTCTATAGCCATATATGCAATAAAATGTAAAATTTGAGAGAATGCAAAAATAGCCTAAGATAACCGTTTGTTAAATATAGATGATAAACATATAATTTAAGCCAATTTGTGTCACAGTGTTATCTTTATCATTACGGCAATAACAGCTGACTATATTTGTACAGCTCTACATTACTGCATTAATAAGATAAAGATTGTCATTTACGTATGGATTTTGGGTTTGTATATAGAAAGTCTGACTTCAATCTCCAATTTTCACATTTTATACATCAATCAAGCATTGTATAGCGATAGTGCTTGCTCAAAAAACTTCGTTTACATTTCACGATTCTTATGATCCTGGGCTGATAATGACAAATCACTAAAGCTAATTTTCGGCTTAACGGGTCGATTTTTTTTTCTTCAAAATCGGTTGATCGATTCTTTTACGTAATAATAAGTTTTTTTCTGTATGATATATTTTATTGACCGTAATTTCTTGTTAATATACTGCATTGTCACCGTGAAAGTTATTATCGTAATCGGTTGAGAGAAAAAGTAGATGACCAAATTAGTGAGATCGATCCTTATATAGTAATTTAAGTCGTTCACTTTATATCTGGAATATCCAGTTATTCGTATTACATAGTAAAATAAGAAAAATACTTATCATATGGGCCGATTTTTGGAATTTATAAGTAAAACGTATTTTAAAGCTAAATAACCTTTGATCTACTAATCTGTTTTAAATGATACGTTTTACTTATAAATTCCAAAAATCGGTCCATATGTAGAATTCAAGGATTACAAGGAAAAGAGATACTTATCTGAGCTCGGTATTGCACTCACAAGACCCTAGACTCTAAATACTCGGATCAAACTCTCCATGCCTCGATCGAACTGTCAATTTAGAGCTTCAATATTGTAGTCTAATTATAGTTATCGATACATAATAAGTTATTGGCCTCACTTTCAGGATTAGCATGAATGGAATTTGGGCAATGGAAATCTGTCCGATGCCCAGTGTCCGAATTGTCCTATAGAAGCAATGGACATTGGATGGGACATAGGTTGATCACATAAAATTGAATCACCTCATACAGTATTAACGCTAACAAAACTACGCAGATCAGGTAAGTAGATCTATATAGTGACAGGCCGATTTTTAAAATCCATACGTGCATATTAGCGGTAGGGTTAGGAAATATAGATTTATATTAAATTAATTAAAATATTCTCCGGTGCTCGTGGGTACTAGGAGAAAACACTAGCTAGTTTATCTTTATTGATCCAATAATATCCACACTAAACTATTTGCAACTATCACGTTACTTACAGCTCGTACGTACGTACGTACATACTACCTTTTTATATTATCCAACCTTCCTATTTCTACCCACTATTTAACCCAACCGCTATTAAACACTTCTTCCTCATTTCACCACTATACCTTTCCAATATTTATTTCGAAATATTACATCTACTACTTACCATATACATAACATTATACATTATTTTATTACGAACCAACTAATAAATATCTTTTACATTTACATTTGTACCACTACTACGTACCCTTTTTTCTCGAACTTCCCATACCCTACGCTTTGCTCACTGCAACGGCATCCTGTGCCACGCGAACCTTGTTAGTATATAAAAAAGGAAAGGCATATAGCATACAGGTATGTATAAAAAATTTGAGTCAGTTATATCAGTTTGTATACAACTTTTATTTTTATTGTAAAGGTGACTTATCTACGTGATATTCGCTAATTAATTTAAATGGGGTCAAGTTAAGGAAAAGTTAATTTGATTAAGTGGGAATAAAAGCGAAAAAGAAATTTCTTCATTTTTAAATCGATGTATGTTCTGCGT